GGCGTCCAGATCCAGCCGCTGTTGAAACGGACCAGCGGCTGACTACAGGAAGCCTGAGGCAGAGTTTCTCTGTCCCGGGCTTCCTGGAATCAGCCACTGATCAGTTTCAGTAGCAGCTGACTTGGGGACGCCTGGGGTTCTTAAGTTGAATCTGTATGTAAGTCGGAACTGGCGTCCCGATTCAGCTGCTGTTGAGACTGATCAGCAGCTGATTCCAGGAAGCCCAGGGTAGAGCAACTCTGCCTCAGGCTTCCTGTAGTCAGCCATTGGTCAGTTTCAGCAGCGGCTGAATCTGGACGCCAGTTCCGACTTACATACAGATTCAACTTAAGAACAAACCTACAGTCCCTATCTTGTACGTAACCCGGGGATTGCCTGTATACTATATTCACTGGTTCACCCTTACACACATAATTATTTACCTGCTCAGAGAATTCTAATGGATTGGTGAGGCACGATTTCCCTTTACAAAAACCCTATTGGCTCTTTCCTCAACAAATTGTGTTCTTCTATAGACCTCATAATTCTTTTCTCTATTATAGATTCAGGACACTTTGCTTGGTACTGGCTAGACCAAATGTAATTGCCAGGATTGACTCTGGAGCCTTTTAAAAAAATATCACATTAGGTATCCTTCAGTCATCTGGTACAGAAGCTGATTTAAATACACATTTGCTAGTTCTAAAATTTCATGATTGAGTTTCTCAGAATTCTCAGGTGAACAGCATCTGGTTCTGGAGACTTATTACTGTTTCATTTATCAGTTTGTTCCAAAATCTCATCTACTGACAGTCTAGGACAGTTCCTTAGATTTGTCACTTTAAAAGAATGGCCCCGCTGTGGGAACTGCCCTTAGAACAGCTGCAGTGAAGACTGATGCAAATAATTCATTTAGCTTTTCTGGCTCAATTTATAATCACTCTAAGTAGGTGGTTACAACCCTCATAAATAACATACAGATTTTTTAAAATATATTTTCAGACTAATTCATCAGTACAAATGTAACATAAGTCTAGAAGTATCATTTAAAAGCAACATTAATTAGGAATTTCTCCCATCCACCCCTTGTCCTGATTACTCCACTTAGCTTAGTACGCAGAATATTTCTATTAGGTTCCCATTAGCACTAATGAGATGATTGCCATAAATGGCATTTATATGTCTAAATCTCTCATGCATTGATAGCTGAATAGACTCACCAAATGGGAATACCATGAGACCTATTGGCTAACATTCTAGGACTGAACCATTTGATATGCAATTTGGCACGATAAACTAAGATTTTAAAAGTAATTTCTTAGTCTCTTTCTTAGTTTCTTAGGTCAAACTGATGGAAGTTATATAACTATTGCTCCCTCTGATGGTATGACTCCATTTTTATTGCTTAATGTTACCAAATTCATGTGTCCACATTTGAAAAAAAAATGGCACCACAATCATGCACAAAAACATAATATGATCTGGGCTCTGTGTGGAAATTAATTTGCAATATTCAGTGAACTGTAAAGAAGAATGTATTTAGAAATATTTTTGAAAATATTTGCATTTACAGAAAGCTTGACCCTTTCAACTTATTTAGCAGAAGCTGCTTTCTCAAAATGGAGAAATACAAAGCACAAACAAAAATAAAAATGTCAAAGACATCTTACTTACAGGTTGACCAGGATCACCATCTTCTCCTTTCTCGCCACCAGTACCATCTTGACCCTAAAGAAATCCCGAAGAGACGGTCACAAAACTTAAATCAGTTTATTTTTGCAAAAAACATTTGACCCAGAACTGTTTGATCCAGAACTGTATCTGTATTATTCTTCACTAGGATATTTCCTTGAAAACTTACTATGAAGTTTTAGTTGAATTAATTAATTTTAAGATTCTAAAACCAAAAGCAATTGGAAAAATAGTTCTTCCAAGAGAGATCTCTTTCCCATTGAAGTAAAGGAAAGTTTTACCTTTGTCTTCAGTGGGAACCAAGATTAGGCCCTATATCTGGTTTGCAGGGATACTTACAGCAGGGCCAGGTTCACCAGGGGGACCAGGATCACCAGGGAAACCAACAGGTCCCTACACAAATGGGAAAGAAATCAAAGCAGAAGTCAGACACCAGCAAGTATTTTTTAAGTCTTTACAAAGTATTCCAGTTAGAAAAGCAGGATTGTACACACTCCAGAAATGCATATTGAGTCCTATAAAAGTGTAAATAAAATGACAATGCTGTTTGGTGCAATAATATTTTACACAGATGACCTTATTTTTAAATTAGTAGGCTCACTTACTGGATTACCCTTAGGCCCATCATCACCTGGAGGTCCTTTAGCACCAGGAGGTCCAGCAGCCCCAGGTGGACCAGCCTCACCTTTTTCTCCCCTTTCACCTTTCGGTCCCTGTAAACAATAGAAAAATATTGGCTTTCTGGAACTGTACATCCTTAATATGTAAGAGAAGGAAGATTTAAAAGTTGATGAGAGTGAAAAAGATGCTTTTTAAATTTTGAGATGTTACTTGTCAAATTGTATCATAAAAGCTTGTCCTTGAAATAGAAATGGGATCCAAACCAACCCCCAGACTCGAACACTCACAGAACTCAAGACAATTTCAGATCCACATCAGCATGAAGATAATGACATTCAGACCCATCTCTAGTTTGAAATGAACTTTTCACTAACAAACAGATACAAATCTAGCTGGAAGAAATGTATTGATAAAATACATAAACTTGATTGTAAAATGCATGATAAGCATGTAGAGGAAGAAATAAATGTTCTCTCACACAAGGGTAAGATTCATTTTGTCTTCCAGTTTTATTTTACAAGATGTGGGCTCTAGCTGAAAGCAGTTTGTATTTCACAGACATGAAGAAAATATGAAGAAAACATCTGAGATTCCACCTGTATGAAGACTCTGATTGCACAGAACTTGAAATTCCCTTAACATAAGTTTTCAGTAAGCACTTTATTTTAATAGAATAATACTAATTAAAATAAACAAACAAAACCCAATACTCACTCCTGGGCCAGTCTCTCCAGGAGGTCCAGGATTACCAGCTTCCCCCGGCTCGCCCTATAAAAAACGAGGGCAAATTAACGTCATACTGATACGTTTATCTTTGCATTTACCTGCATTATTATGACTTCCCTTATAGTTTTAAAACTTGGCTATCAGAACCTGCCAGAAGAGTTGCGTATGAGTAACAGTACTCATGTAAGTAGTCCTGTTGTACCCAATGAGACTGCTCTGCTGCACTGAGTCACTCACATGTGTTTTTTGCAGAATCAGAGCATTAACAATTTATAGGAAGATTATCAAAGGCACAAACTCAACTTTCAATGCAAACGGGATATTAAACTTCTCTATGTCTCTTTTAAAAACAACCTGTTGAGTTGTCTCCTTTTTTGTCACTTTTCTTCGTAGAGGGTGAAGTCAAGTATATATACTGGTCATCTACATCTTTGTTTTTGCAAGGTATATATCTGACGCACATCGTTAGATTTAGAAATTAAATGAACATTGAAATAATTTTAGACATTAGCACTAGTGTCGAAAAAAGCGGTGGCCATGTTTGTGCTAATGAAGTGCGGGATATTTAAATCCCTGCTTCATTAGCAATTTTGAAGTGCCTAATCTACATCTCTCTGTCGAGAGGTGTAGTCTAGACGTACCCTAGATGTTTTATCAGTAATGGGAACTGTTAAGTAAACTAAATGGCTTGTAAGAGAACACCATATATAAACAATCTGCTCATAGTCAAAGATTACAAAGTAGTAAGTGAACATTTACATTAATTTATTCTCTTTTTGAGCCAATGCACAGTACTGGACATGTCAGGTCTTTCTTTTCTGACACTCCTTTTAAAGTGTAGTTATGAGTGATTATTTTCTAGCTCACTAGACTGTTAAATAAACTTCATACAAAAGTAGCTTGTTACTAAAATGTTTCTTTGGTAAAAGTGTCCTGAATTTACTACTCTCTGAATACATAGCAGAACCTACTTTATAACTGTTGGTAAGAGTTCAAGTAAGAAATATATATTTTTACTTACAGGATTTCTCAATTTAACTGTTAATGTTTGGGATTACTGACATTTGCCTGCTCGGATTTTTTTAATGTAAAACTAAAAATGTTCTCAATATTCTCCAGTAGTAAAGCTGAAATACATTATTTAAAACCACTATGTACAGTACCTTGCCCTCCAAGAGAAAAATTATACTATTCTGTTGACTATTAGAGAACCAATTAGATTATTTTCAGTTCCTCAGCTCCTCAGAAACAACTTTAAAATGCCCTTGGTGAATCTTCCTTTTGAAAGTATAGTGTTTCTGAATTCTTGTTTACTCTAATTTTGCAGCCATCTAAAATCTTGTTGTTTTATTAGTAGTAATGATCTTTTTAGGTACTTACGAATAAATGGGCTTCTGCAATGCAACATTTATACTATTTTTTTTAAATAAAATATTCTGAATAGTTCCGTTTAATAGGCTTGATTTAAAATGTGTTTTCCAGGGAATGTTCCAATTTTTACTATCTTGTTCTCTGCAAAGATTGTACATCTAATACCCTAATAAATCTGTTAGTCTTTAAAGTGCCACTGGACTTCTTGTTGTTTTTGCTGAAATAGACTAACACAGCTACCTCTCTGAAGCCAGTCATTAATATTGTTTCTCTGTACATGCTTATAAACATAAGGTTAGATTTATGTAGGTAGGGAGAATTTGAACAAGTCTCTGAGGGTATGTCTACACTACCACCCTAGTTCGAACTAGGGTGGTAGTGTAGACATACCCTGTTGCAAATGAAGCCCGGGATTTGAATTTCCCGGGCTTCATTTGCATAAAGCCAGGCGCCGCCATTTTTAAATGTCCGCTAGTGCGGACTCCGTGCCGCGCGGCTACACATGGCTTCCTAGTCCGAACTACCGTTACTCCTCGTTTCACGTGTCCCTAAAGACATTTCACGTTTCACGCTTCACGAGGAGAAACTGTAGTTCGGACTAGGAAGCCTAGTCCGAACTACCTAGTCCGTGCCACGTGTAGCCGCGCGGCACGCAGTCCGCACTAGCGAACATTTAAAAATGGCGGCGCCCAGCTTTATGCAAATGAAGCCCGGGAAATTCAAATCCCGGGCTTCATTTGCAACTCCGGTTGCCTACATTACCACCCTAGTTCGAATTAGGGTGGTAGTGTAGACATACCCTGAGTTAGCAAGGAGATCAGCTTTTCCTTGGGTTATTCAGTCATGTGAAAAATTGATAAATGTATAGAAGATGTAAAAAGGCCAAAATATGGGATTCTAACAACTTGTAAGAATATTAAGCAGCCTGATTCGCACCACGTAGACCTATTAACTTTAATAAGACTGCTGATATAAGGGTTTGCCTGCATGAATCAAACTGCAACATCAAGGTTTCATTTAGGGGGTTGCATAAGGATGCTAATCAAGGGCTCAGTTGTTCCTGTCAAGCTCTTGGTCCAGCACAGTTCCTCACTGAGTTTCCCAGTGTGTAATTATGACAATACAGTTTGTTCTTCTCCTTCCTTCCATGAGTGAGCCTGTCTATAAGACAGGATGGGGTAGAATCCCTCCCTGTTCTCTTTGAGATGTCTTTAGGGACACATCAAGAGCACAAGTATTGCACTTTTAAGTGATCTTGGCTTGATGTCGTGATTGGCCAATAAGTGGGCCTTGAAAAGGTAAGAAAGCTTTTTGTGAGTTCTCCATCTCGGTGCATCTGTGTAAGTGCCAGCTATTATCTGGTCGTGTGTAAAGATTATATAAAGCCATAAACAAGTTTGACCTTTCCACCATCTAATGTTTTGTAGAATAAGATGCAGCCTCTGTATTTTATCTGATAGTAGAGCTAGCTCATGCTGCAAAACATAAAATGGTGTGAAAATGTATGTCTGTTTCACACAGATGTTTATCGACAGTGGAGCAAGACGGCTTTATCTGGCTCTAGATATATATTTAGAGCATGCAGAGCTCTATCTCCAATGTTAAATTAATAATCAATATGGTATTATTTGTTAATGAAAACATTTATTCTCTGCCTTTTGGCTAATCCCAAGGGTGGTATCAATTCAGTATCTGATTCATTCTGCACGTGGGAAATCTCTCCTTCTCTTGCAAGAAAAAGATTTGTTGATCTAATCGATATATTTCATCTCTAAGTACTGCAGGCCTTTAATCAGATTTTACTCAGGCAAAATCTGACAGGAAGCTTTTCTTAACAAGATCTCTATACGGACAATGGAGGGTTTTCCCTATGTTTCAATGAGTAATATAGCACCAAGGATGTGGTTAAATCTGAAATTTTATTCCCATTAATCATGACAAGTAATTTGTATAAGACTAAAGATCCCCATTTTAAGTAATTTTCTTTATAATCAACTTTATAAAACAATTCTGGAAAGTATAGAATAGCAAAACTATACTGAATAGAAGGCTGCCACCTTTTGGTTATGATGCAGAATATTGCTATTGGTTTTTATAAGTTTGTGAAAATATTGAAACACCAACTCTGAATGACAGTCAATGTCTAGGGATGTTAATCACTGTCTTGTTTCTCTGTATTCCTCATATAGAAATGTCTAAGGTTATTATCAAAAGGTTATTATGAAGAGAGAAGTAAGATCAGCTCCAGAGATAGCCACTAAACAAGGTAACATTTATGGAGCTGTATTCAGACCTTAATTATATGATCTTAAGTGATACACAGATCCTGTGCTGACCCTCAGCCTGGGTCGTGGCGGCAGGTCTGGGGGGGAGGGTGAATTTGATCCTATGGGAACAAAATTGTTCTAATTCTAGGATAAATCTTATAGTGTGTGGAGAGATCAGTAATGCATAGTTATTAATTAAGGACCAGATCCTGTGCAGGAACGTATTGCTAGAGTTCAAACGACTTCACAGAGCACAGTGTTTGTTTCAGCTTTCTCAAAAGAACTCAAAAGAATAGGATTCTGAGATAGAATAACAGAAATAAAATTGATGATGTTAGCTTTCCTTTGGTGCATGGACATCTGTAATTTGCACCATGCACCGGAGACAACGTGTCACACTTGAAGGTGGGGAGGGCACAACTTAAAGGTTCTCGGTCATATCTGACTGTCCCACCATCATCTCTGGGATGAGGAGCAGCAGCAGAGCCAGGAGCACTAAGGCACCATTTGGTGAGAGACGTCAGAAGGTTTCCTGGCAGTTGGACTCTGCTGTCTGAGGCCAGACTTCTTTAGGGGAGAGGCAAGAACACATCAGGGCATGACTTGGGTTTGTGCCACTTTCCTGGCATGGGGAGTGCCTGGCCATGCAAAAATGGAATGGCTTAGGGAGAAGGGCAGGAAGGGCTGTTGGACAGCCAGCCAGCTCACTGGCTCTCACAGTGCAGAGGGCTAGAGGCCCAAGCAGGCCAGGCAGGTCCCACCTACTGGCTCATGATAGGAGACAGGCTACAGTTTGGAACTGCGCCAGTTTGAAAATCTTTGTGCTAAATGGGAGGTAGAAATCTCAGAACGGCATATTACTCTACACATCCCCCATCTTTGCACAGTTACTGCTATTCACTGATTCTGCCTGTTCCACACAGTACTAAAAGGCATAATTAATAGAGGGATGATGGCACAGCATTCAGTGTGTGCACATCCTTTTATTACATTATGTTTGTACTTTATTAAATAGGAATTTGTAACACTTATGTTACTTTTCACAGATGCTGAGTGCAGTACATAAGAGTATTGATTAATGACACCCAAGACCACAAACACACCTCCACTAGCATCCTGTGTTTATTTTTGGTGGAACATTTAGAAGGGACATTTGTGTACTATTTGTATTTATTTCTGTTTTATTTTTCTGCTAGCAAACTCACGGATTTTCCAAATTCAGACTGGCATTTAAAATAATATACTTGTTAAAGAGTACAATAAAGCCTTTGATTTATTAACACAGGAATTATGAAGTGACCAGTCAGCCACAGACCTCATTTGGAAATGGAAGTGAGCAATCCAGCAGCAGCAAAGACAAAAATAAAATAAAATGAAAAGGTAAATGCAGTACAATACTGTGTT